CTGCTGCGAAGTAGGTGCCCTCTTGACTTCAGATGCACAAGATAAGTGCAGTGGGTGTCACAGCGAGAGTAGTAATTATGGCATCTGTCTTGTCATGGAATGTGACTATAGTAATTGCAACATTTTCTCCCATCATTGAAGCTGGTAATTATAGTGCAACTAACAGCATTATGTGCTAACTTGGGCTGTTTTAATCACCTCTTTTACTCTGAAATGCAATGGGAAAATTCCACAGTTGTTCCCAGGCTACCCATTTCTCTGAGCATCTGCTGTCTTATAACCCTAACAGCTGGATGCTGAGGTAGGAGGCCGGGATGCTCAGGGCAGCTCATCACAATGATCTCAACGCTTGACAAGAAAGCAACACAAGGAGGCAGTTGTCAGTTTCCTACCATGGTAAAATTTTATCTTTGAGATTATCGGCCTCGTTTCCGAAGCGGCAGATGTTTTGGCATCTGGCACTGTCTGCCACCTGTACCTTGCAGGAAGAAAACCGCAAGGCACAAAAATCAATGTAATTCTGATTAAGAAAAACCTCCTTCAGCCCTGGCAGCAGTTAGGTTAGTGAATGCTGGGATGGAACACCGTGGGCCAGTGTATTACTTTTCCCCATTGCTGTGACGACGAAAATACCTGACGACACACTGTAAGGAAGGGCTCCTGGTTGGAAGATCGAGCCCAGCATGATGGGAAGGCATGGCAGGAGCATGAGGCGGCTGGCCACGTCACATTAGCAGTCAGGAAGCAGAGAGAGAGCAGGGCTGGTATTCAGCTCGTGTTCTCCTTTCTGTGCAGACTAGGACCCAGTTCGTGGGTGGGTACCACTCAGTTTGGGTCTTCCCACCTCCATTAAACCTCCCTGGAAACACCCTCATAGACACACCCAAAGGTGTGTCTCCTCTGTGGTTCTAAATTATAGCCACCACAGCCATGATGGCATCTTTCATGTGTAATGTTCCATGCCTCAAAACAGTCATTACCCATGTTTGTCTTCTCTGAACACAATACAGTGAGCACCGGCAGATATTCAAGGTGCTTTGCTTATACTGACATAAACAGACTTTGGATAATGTTATTGAACGGAGGGGGTCTGGTTAGGGTAGAAATTCCCTTGATTACCTTGATATAAAATAATTTACACTGCATTAGATGCGGCTCAGCATAAGTAGTCCATTCTTTAAAGTGTAATTGTTTGAGTAAAAATCCTATAAGTAATTCAGAATCAGCAGAGCATAGTCAGAAAAAAATGGAATAAGATCATTTGTTGGGCATGTAGAATGACTAAAGGGGTCATGTTGGAAGGACCCTTTCCTCCTGGGATTGTCAGATCGCCATCCTGGCCTCAGGCTTTTTGTCTGAGCTCATGTTCTGCAACTGTAACAGAATTCCATGGCTGGAAAAATAGAAGGTGGGGGAGAAGGCAGGAGGAGAAAGAAAAGGAAGGAAAGATTGGAAGAGAAGCAGGGAAGAGAAGAAACGGGAAGGGAGGAAGGAGGGAAGGAAGGTGTTTTTCACAGCTCTGGAGCTAGAAGTCCAAGAGCAAGGCACTGTGCCGGACAGGGCCCCCAGGCTGTCATCACATGGTGGGAAGGCAAGCCATCAGGGAAGGCAGGAGAAAACTCAGGCTAAACTCTGCTCCTTGTCAGGAGCTCTGTTCTACAGCAACACTGTAGCCTGGGGGGGGGGGGGGGGCGGGGCACACAGAACCGGTTTGTGAGGGCCCTTAACTTTCAAAGTGAGTTTTGAATGTACTTTCAAACTGCAACAATCGTGTGTTGGTAATCCTGAGTGAATCTAGAAAACTGGCGCGGTGTGGAACCAACCCAGGTCCGCACACTCGTGCTCCCGCACCAAGTGCCTCTACTTGGTCCTGAGTGGACCTCTTTGTAGATTCTGTTGGGCCACTTGGGTGTATGGATGGGATACAACTGAGTAGATGCAGCTGCAGTCTGGAAAGAACAGCTGGAAAGGAGGCGACCCAATAGCCGGGCAGTGGCAGTGCACGCCTTTAATCCCAGCACCAGGGAGGCAAAGGCATCTCTGTGAGTTCGAGGCCAGCTTGATCTACAAAGTCAGTTCCAGGACAGCCAAGGCTACACAGAGAAACCCTGTCTCCAACCACCCCACCACCACCAAAACGAAGAGGCAACCTAAAAACAACTTTTTTTCTTAAAAGGAGCATGGTGGTACCAAGCATAGGCTCATCTTTGTGACATGACAGAAAAAAACTTCTAGAGAGAACCTGCTCAGAACTGGGCGGGTCAGACACCCAGCATAATTGCCAGGTGTTGCAGACACCGGGGCGAGAGGGGCGCTTGGACCCTGCAGCTCTTCCACGGGGCACACACCCCACCAAGCCCCCCGATCCTAACCCTACCCCCATGCCTTGCCTGAGATAAATTTGAACTTGGGGTTGTTCTCAGTTTAGCTAGTAAAGGACCCCTCCCTGCCGCCGCCCTCCACGCCCCAACCCCAGCCACGACTGTCGCTGGTTGTGTATAAAGGTGAAGTGGTCAAGGGACAGGAAAGCTGCCCTGGTTACTCACAAGCCATCTGCCAACCAGCAGCTGCCTAGGTCCGGTCCTCCGCCTCCACATCTGTGACTTTGCAACATATGCCGCTGTCTGCAGTGGCTTGGTTATGTCTGAGTCTTCTTGGTTGGCTCTAGTGTCTTAGTTTTTCCCTGGCATCTTCTCAATTAGCTCAGCAAGGTAGATAGATACTCAGTAAACACTTCCTGGATGAGATAAAGAATTCAAAAGTTTCAGAGCATGGTCAAGAAAAGTGAGACAGGGTCATTTTAGGGGGATGGCGGAATGACTGACTAAAGGGGCCAACTTGGACTCTTGCTTCTTGGGACTGTTGGATCTGCATCCCTTACCTCAGGCTTCTTCTCCTACCTCACCTCCTATGCTTGTATGTGATCTTCAGCAAGGAACTCACCTCTGACCTCTGCATTAGTGACATGGGGCGGGGGGCAGTTCTATGTCTCTAAGCCTGTTTTACCTGTGTTCTGTGGTTCTCCCTTTAATAGCAGAGTCAGCTTTTTAAATCCTAACTAACTGTACCTGGAGATGGGAACTTCCCAGGGGAAGACCAAGCTCGTGTGTTTAGCCATGGCAAGGGATGATGGGAGTACAGGGCACAGAGATGACCCTGATGGACTCACAGATCGGGAGTCACACAGTGAAGGCAATGGGACATAGCTGTGGCACAGAAAGAGAAGGCCTGTGTATGTATGCCTGCTCTAAACTTGGAAGTAAATGCCCAGTGCTTCCTGTCCGTCATACTCATCTCCACCAAGATGGAAAGCTGCCTGTGTCCCACCAGCCCCTGGGATCCCTACCTCTGCCCTTCACTGCAGCGAGACTCCTGTAGGAGCCCATTTAGGACTGTTCACCTGGCCATCATGCACTCAACGGTCCAGATTTCATTTTCCCATTAACTATTTTTCTTGATGCTGTGACAAAATACCCAAGAAACCCCCAAGGAAGAGTTTATTTCCAGGAAAAAAGAAAGAGTAGTACAAAGAGCTCCTTTCTCATTCCACACTCCTAACAAATGTAGCATTTGTCAGGATTGGGCTTGACTCGTCCACTCAATGTGTACTTATTTTATTTGATGGAAACACACACATACACACACACACACACACACACACACACACATACACACATACACACATACACACACACACACACACACACACACACACACACACACACACACACACACACACATGTCAACTTGTATCAAATGGTTACCTGTGGGAATTGGGCTACCACAGACACAGACAGGTCTGGGTTGGAAATTGGAAAAAAGAATCTGAAGGTGTGGAAACCCCAAAGCAGGTTTTGTGGCTGCCTGGGACAGGAGCCTTAGGAGAGTCTTCCCTCGCTTCTTGTGATGGCTAATCTCAGTTCGTCAACATGACTACATCTACAATCCACTAAGACCCGAACAGTGAGGGATTTTCTTGAGTAGATCATTTGAGGTGGGAAGACCCATGCTAAGTCTGGATCATTCGAGCTCAGAATGCCCACCCTAAATCTGAGCCTCACCTTCTGGCGGCAGACCGCATAAAAGGACACACCATCTCCTTCTCTGAGGACACCCAGCTCTTTTTCTGGATTCAAACTGGGGGAGTTTGCTATGCAGTTTCTATGTGTTGATCAAGAAGAGTCTGGAAGGTGAACAGAAGAGAGGGTTTCCCGGTCAGCAGCAGCCCGTCTGGAGGGAGCAGCTGCCTGTCACTGGAAGATGTGAGCGTGGGCTAGAGGGATGATGACTGAGCAGGTGAAGATGCCTCCAACGAAAGCCTGATGACCGGATGTTGATGCCTGGAGCCCACATAAAGGTGGAAGGATGGGGCTGACTCCGCAAAAAAGTTGTTCTCAGACTTCTGCATGTGTGCCATGGCATGCACCTGCTCCCTCCCCCGTGTGTGCAGTATATATTACATACTAATATAATAATATTATATAAGTATAATAATAAGTGCAATTTGTAAGACGAGGGCTTATAAAGCAGAGCTGAATCGGGGGCCTGTTGAAGGGGACAGAGTGTCTCTCCTGGTCTGGCCATGAGAGTAGACTATAGAAAAACCAGTACTAATAATTACAATCAGCCTGGCTGGCTAGGAACAGCTTCTGTGTTATTCTTACAGAAATGGCTTTGGAGAGTCACTATCAGCTTACTCTGCTCTGTTCTCTCTATTCACTTGTTAGAGGAGCTGGGATCAAATCCATGCTAGGTGAGAGCCACACCCTCAGCATGTTCTCAGCCCCCTGGATCCCGACCTTGACCTCTAGGACAACAGGTCCTTGCAGCATCTTCTAAACCCATCAGCTCAGTTCTACCCAAACCTGCCAGCCCCTGGACTTGTTTGATCTTGCATACCATATAGCCTGACTTTGGCTATGGCCACTCTTCTGATGAACCTCAGCCTGGACCCACTCTGTGAACGCCTTTAACCAAGCATTTATGCTGTGTCCCTGCAGGTCTCCCAGGCAGCCTCGGACCTCCTGGCCTACTGTGAAGCCCACGTGCGGGAGGACCCCCTCATCATCCCAGTGCCTGCCTCAGAAAACCCCTTCCGGGAGAAGAAGTTCTTCTGCACCATTCTCTAACACCCATGGTCATGAAACGGGCCCTTTCCTGCTGTCAAAGTCCCGAGTAGAGACCGTGCACGCTCCTCCCATGTAGAGGCATGCCTCCCATACACACCCCATCTCTCTCCAACCAATCGTGATCTAGGCTCATCTTGGTTTACCATATTTTCTTCATGACATTGTTTCTTCTTCTTTCTTCTTCCTCTTCCTCTTCTCTTCCTCCTCCTTCTTCTTTCTTCTGGTTTCACTTTTGTTATTTCCATCTATAGAGAAGAAAACAGACATTTTTATAGTCAAATAACAAATGTGCCATGTAAAAATGTAGATTTAAGGGTCTACAGTTTTTAAACATTAACCCTCAAATGTAAATATATCCAGTTAATAAATTTCAGTGGGTAATTCATTGAAATTGAAATCATGCCCAAGTGTCTCCCACGCACAGTAATTCAGTATCAAAAGAGAGCATGTCAGCCAGCCACATGTGAGGGTGAGGTCTCTTTCTCCTCTGGCCTCTCTATCTTAGGAGTCTTCACAGGCCATGTGCCAGACCCTGTAGATGGCCAGTGTCTCCACCTGCCTCTTACTGAACATTCCAGAGCTGATGCTTCTGAAGAAGCATTTGTGGTATAGACACTAAGGCAGCCTTGCCTGTAGATACTCACCAGGACAGCCCCTCTGGGCCACCTCCTCAGTCCCAATGCCACTCTTCCTGCCCGCTTCCTCCTGCTCGGTGTCTCTAGTAAGGTGAGGCCCTTGGGAGTCTCAGCAGAGACAGCCCTGCCCTCAAGCAGTGGATCAGAGTCAGTCACATGCCACTTACTAATCTGAGAAGTTATGGCTGTTAACATCTCTAATCTGACAACGAATACCAGTGTGGTTTGTTTTAGAGAGGGAATATCCGAAGGACAGAGAAATGACGTTTGCTCAAGGCTGCAGACAGTGTAGGCAAACCATGACTTCCATATGTGGGTAGTCCATCCCTGAACCCCTCCCTGAACCCCTGAACTGTGGCCGCCTGTTGCATCTGTACAGATCCACAAACAATCCTAACTGCACATGAGGAAGGAAGCAAACCCATTTGTCACACTGACTGACAGCACACTTCTCTCCCACCTCTGCTGGGAGAAGTCTCACGAGCCTAGATTCTAGCAGTTTGTCATAGCTGATATGTGGGTGCCCTAAGACCAGATAGCAGTAAGCCCTGGGATTTTCCAAGATGAGGCTATGGACCCAGTCTAGAATACCTCCATGCCCTCCTGATAAAGGTGCAGTTGCTGAGCGCTCAGTGAGGACTTTTGTTTTGTGTGTTTGGAAACTGCCGCCCCTCTGGCTCTGGGAGAGGCTTGCTGTGTGCTGCTGGGCAAGCCGTTGTGTGCCAAGCTGTTCAAACCAGCAAACTGCAGGCAATGTTAATTACCCATCTTGCCCTTCTGCCAGGGCAGAAACCAAGTAAGGCTCTGATTATCCTCGAAAAGCAATATATGCTAGATGACAGCCTATAACATTGGGAAGAGTATGTGACTTCCTAGATCCCATGGTTCTGGTGATGGGGAATGTATCATTTTTATTGCATTATCATGGGTCTGTGCCTTGCTACCCTTTCTGGCAGCTTTTGTGGAAACCGTTCTTAGTTTTACTACTGTGCGTGAGATGAGAGGCTAAGATTCCACGAGGTTTTGTTGAGCTATAACAAGATCTCGTTATTCTATGACCCATGTTGGCATCATTAACCCGAGAGAGGAGACCATGGTCCACAAAAGCCAAGGAGTGTGATAGTACCTAGGGTGGCAAAGTAGGTCGGGAGAACAGTGTGCTGGAATCTCCTCCCAACCTGTCTCTGTTTTACTGTCTCCATTTCCAACCACCTTTCTGACATTCTCCTGTAGACGGTGTGTCCACTAGTAACTGTCCTGGGAAGACGCTCCCATGCCACACCTTGTACCCACTGAACTTTCTCACCCCCAACACCTTTCTACTTATCCCTAGATTTCTGTTCATTCCTGGAGTCTCTGAGAGCCGTCCAGTAAACTCACTCCATGAAATACCCTCATTTGGATGTAAATATTGTGTGGGTTGACAACTTCACTCCTGAGAATATCCTCGACAGAAATGTGTACATATCATCAAAAGAAACGTGCTAGAGTGGCCATGGAGGCACTGTTCATAGTAACCCCGAAGCAGAAGGCCTTCCTCTTCTGCCCATGTTGAAAGGAGAAGCAGATGAGGGTCATTCACATGGTGGACTCCTGCCCAGCCCCAGAAGGGACTGTCTCAGCTCCACCCACAGCTCACTGAGAACCTTCCAGGCCTGGTGAGGGGACTGAGAGCAGGCTAGTCCAAGTCTCAGTTCCATTTTCACACAGCACAGGCCTGGAAGGCCAACCCAGGCTGACTCAAGGAGGAACAGTAGCTTCTCTCAAAGGGGCAACAGAGAGGGCACACAAGAGGCTTCTGGAATGTTCTGTCTCTGTATCTAGCTGCCTGTCACCCTGATATGTTTAGTTTGTGAAAACTTTCCCAGCTGTCTAATTTTGGGTGCTTTTCTGTATGTGTGTTATACTTCAATAAAAAGTCGGGTTTGTGACTACCAACTGGATCCCTCTGATAGATTTCTTCTTCTTCTTCTTCTTCTTCTTCTTCTTCTTCTTCTTCTTCTTCTTCTTCTTCTTCTTCTTCTTCTTCTTCTTCTTCTTCTCACTTTATTCAGTGTTTGACTCCTCTTTACATGTCCTTAGCAACATGACATTAATGACTCCCATCATTAGTGGGACACTTTAAGGGTGTGTTTGACAACATTTTGAATACAAAATACTTGTAATCACCAGCTGTCAGGCTACACAGGTGCTTTCCCACACAAACACTATGCTCTGGGATTTGTGGGCAAACAGCAAGGCACACCATGTGTCTCCCACTGAGTGTCTGAGGTGACATCCTCAGACACTCTTACCTTCTCACCCTCAGGAGTGAAGGGACAGGGTGGCCTTCCAGGAAAGCCCATAATTACAGCGGACCTCTGGAGCAAGAGAGCAAGGTACCACAAGGCCCTGTGGTGACAAAGAGCTGGCACACAGGCAGGAAGAGAGGGTGCTGCATGTCTCTCCTTCACTCTGCTTCCCCCGAGGGTTCCCTGCCCCCAACCCGGAATGTCTGAGCTCCACAGGGCCTTTGCTGTTCCCTCTCACAGCTCTGCCACTGGAGTCCCGGGGTGATCAGAGAGCAGCTTCCAGCTGTCCCCCACCACCCCTCACAGTGGTCCAAAGGTTTTGTCTGTGATGCTGAGCGCCTGCCCGGTGCCCGAGGAAGCCAGGAGTTGTCTGTGTAGTGACTGCTGGAGCTTGAGCTGATATCATGAGAGCTGACGCTCGCTGCAGCTGGGGAAGAACAGGGCTGTGGCAATGGCTGGGACAGACTTTATTTACGCTGTAACATTCTCAGCTTCCGGGTGGTAGGACAATCCCAAGACCAAAGGTGGCCCAACTTCCAGGCCCATGTCCTGGGCTGAGCACCTTCTCTGCCCAGAGCGGCAGTGGCGGCAGATGAACTGCCGTCAATCCAGGTTTCACACTCCTGGATATGAGTGTGGATGACCCAGTGACAACCGTGCCTGGCATGCCCTGACATTTGCTAGGTTTTGGGTTTTTTGTTTTTTTTTTAAATTATTGCCTCTCACTGACCCTGGAGCTCTCATTTTGGCTAAACTGCCTAGCCAGCAGCCCCCAGAATCGCTCTATCTCCCTCCCTCCCACCAGAGCTGAGGTTCCAGACGTTTACCATCGCCCCTAGCTTTGGTATAGGTGCTGGGGTTCCAAGTATTCTACTCTCTGAGCCACCTCCTCCAAACCCTCCGGTTTTTATTTTTAATCCAATTTCTGTGTTTGATTCTGCTGTCGCTGGGTTTTGCTAACTTGTGACATTTTTCAGACCCATTTGTAATAATTTACTGTAGGCTGCTGTCTTGACTCCATGGCTTCCAAGATTTCTCAGAGCCGTGGAGCGTGGAGTGACCTCCTGTGGTCTGTTTCCTCTGCCCTGGACGTACTCTCCAGTGCCTGTCACCTCTCTCCTCCAAACCTTGTGTCCTCAACGCTGCCATTACCCAAGGCTGCCTCACTGGCTCTGTGTCTTGCTGCTGCAGGGTCCCTGCACTTGATTTATCTGTCTGCTGCCGGACTGTGGTAGGTCTGTTTATTTTATAGATCTCAACTCAAGATCAGCAAAGACTCACCGTCACATGGCCTCTCTGACCAGCTCAAATCTGTTTCTAAGCTTGTCTGGCACCACAAGAGAGTCCTACATCTGTGCTTATGGTTGTCAAGGAATATCTGTAAATCCCAGTGTAGCGACCTACAGAGGTTTCCTAGTGAGAACTTACTTAGGGTCTGAGAATCTGAGCTTGCTTTACCCAGCAGGGCTGCATAAGGTGGATTGAACCATGGGCATGATTACCAGGTGTTTGGAAGGGTCTGCACTTGTCTGTGTGGTGTGTTTTGCTCTAGCAAGGAGGAGGTCTTTTGCCCCGCCCCTTGGCATTGTTATAAAAAGCCCTTTTGAAGAGACAGAAGGGGCTGGTGGATTTTGATCCAGGCCCTCCCAAAGCTATCCTGTGTTTCTGTCTGTCTCCTCCCTATCTTTATGTGTAAAAGTTTCTTATCCCTCTCTCCTCCTCATAGGACCCCTTTAAAAGGTGGGAGCTGGCCTCCCACATGCCAGGTGATCAGAGGCTCTGGTGTTGTTCACCGTGTTATCTCCAGCACTGAGTGGGTCACCTGACGCATGAGAGCCGCTCATAAGTGTCATCAGGACTGGGGCAGTACTCAGTGAGAGTGCTTGCCCAGCATGATCTGTAGCACTGCCCCTCAAAATGTAAAAAATGTGTGATTTACTCCTGGTTCAATATCGGGCTCCAAGTTTCTATTAATTTTTTTCATCTTTTAAAGGGTTTTTTCTTCTTTTTCTCTGTGTTTTCTTCTTGTAATTTAAATTTGGGGGGAATTTCATGCCTGAGTACTATATTCATATCATGTCCACTCTTCTTCTCCCCCCTCCAACTCCTCCCACTTTTTTTCAAATCCCTTACCTTTTCTTTGTTATTGTTACATACATGGATGGGTGTGTGGGTGTGTGGGTGGGTGGGTGGGAGGATAGAATGATGGATGGATGGATGGATGGATGGATGGATGGATGGATGCAAATTCAGTCTTCAGAGTCTATTTAGTATTGTCCTATGTCTACGTGTTTAGGGCTGACCACTTGGGACTAGATAACTTGTCGGGCTCATGCCTGGAGAAGACTGATTCTTCCTCGCTGTGCAGCCATTACTATGCCTGAGGCTCTTCATCTGGGTGTGGGCCTGTGAGAGTTCTCCCATCTGCCTGGCCTGTTCACTGCTGTTGCCATTGTGCTGGCCTTATTTATACAACTGTTGTTGGGAGTTCATGGCTGTAGCTTCACCATCGCATAGAGGAGATACTCCCTCACAGCAGAGACCCTGCTCCTCTGTCTCTTGTGTGGGAAGCACCTGTGCAGGGCCGACAGCCTGTTCTCCACCCGGACAGCCTTCCATCCCCACTTCTATGATGTCCCCTCAACCGTAGGCCAAGGGGTTGCGATGTAGATGTATCAGCTGGGGCTGGGCACCCACGGTCAGTTGTTCTCTACAGTGTGAACAGTTGTGGCTTTCTGTAATGGTTCCTGACTGCTGCAAAAGAAGCTTCTTTGATGAGGGGTGAGAGCGACACTGGCCCGGAGGTATAAGGGTAAGCATTTAGAATGCGGTTAGTAAATATACTAGATTGGGGAAGTGGCAGTGGTAGGCTCTCCTCTAGGGTCTGTGACCTCTCTAGCCATGGATAGTTGACTCGGTTTACAGTACCAGGCAGGGATTCCCTTCTATTGGGCAGGCATTAAGTAGTACTGGATGGCTATTGGCTATCTGCAAAATATTCCCATTTTCCACTATTATTAACTGACTGGATTTTAATGCAAAAGTGTCCAAACCACCACCACACTGCCTATTGTTACACTAGGGAGTTTAAGAGCTGAAAGATGGGGTCTATCTGCTTAAGTGCTTGCCACACAAGGACTTGAGTTAGATCCCAAAACCCACATAAGAAAGCTGGATACAGGCGGACAGTGGTGGCGTACACCTTTAATCCCAGCACTCGGGAGGCAGAGCCAGGCGGATCTCTGTGAGTTCGAGGCCAGCCTGGGGTACAGAGTGAAATCCAGGACAGGCACCAAAACTACACAGAGAAACCCTGTCTCAAAAAAAAAAAAGAAAGAAAAGAAAAAGAAAAAAAGAAAGAAAGCTGGATACTATGGTGTGTGCTTCTAAACCAACAATGGGAAGTGGAGACAGGCAGTCCCTAGCGGGTCCCTGTCCTGCCAGCAGAGCCTAACTGGCAAGCAGTAAGAGAGACCCTGTCTCAAAAAATAAGATGGCTGGCTCCTGAGGACCAGCCCCCAAGGTTATTCTCTGGCCTCCGTACACATGCCCACAACCCCCCTCCCCCACTCCATATATGCTCCTCCGCACATGCACCTTCATTTTGTAAGCTGCTAGGAAACCACAAACACGCACCCTTGGCTTCATAGCCTTGTCAGGCTTCCTTGCCACTTACAAGCCATAAATCTCTTGCCTGCTACAAACTTCACTTCCCGCTGTGTAGCTGAATGCCGGCCTAATGGTGGTAATTAAGGCTGGGGCCGGGCTGCCTCTGGGTGAGAAATGGAGGACTAGCTGGAGCAGGGAAGCAGCATTCCCCAGTGAGCCACAAAAGCAGCAGCATGGCATCAGTCAGGGCAGCATGCATTTGGAGCAGGGGACATGGAAGTGTTTCTGTGAAGAACCAGGCCTGTCATTACCACAGCTGGGGGCTGGCACGTGCTCACTCCCCAGCTTTTCTTTCCAAATCTTTTGGTAAAAATCCCCACCGCTTACCTGAAGCTTTTAACATTGGTATTCGATTTGATTTATTTATTTATTTATTTTTGCTTTTAAGTTAAATTAGACTCGGTTCAGCTCTGTTTTAAATATAAACCAATCCCTTTGTCCCGGATGCTTGGAGGCCACTGTCTCAACGCTTGCTTCTGGATGCAATAAATTGTGGCTTTGTTTTCGCCCTGCCCAGCCTCTGACATTTGGACGCGCAGATGCACCTGGGAACGGCCCACTTTCGTTCAGATTACATAGGAACAAGCCGATGACAAAGGACAGGAAGGAACGGGGAAGTGGCTCTGGGGCAGGGCACTTTCCTGGCACCTGTGAGGCCCTGGATTCAACCTCAGCACCATCAAATATAAACCAAAAGGGCAGGTAGTGTCTCTGTGGGGGTTAAATAATGGCCCAGCCATTTAGAAGACTGAGACTATAGAGGCAGGAGCCTGAGCTGGGAATTCGGTCTTGGGCTGAACTCTGGTTCTGTCCAGTGCTGGCTCTGCTGATGCTGACAGCCTTCACCACCCCCACCACACACACACCCTCCACACCAACCACCCTGCTGCTGTGGTCATATGAGGACAATAGCAGCCTTCTCATAAGAGCTCTTGAATATCCAGAAAACAACACAAGTGAGTAGCGTTGCCTGATGTA